TCGTGATTCGCCACCGCGCGTCTTCGTCGGTTGTCTCATCGTACGTAGATCCACGCAAGCTCCGACGAAAAGCCTCTGCTCTCGCGCGCGGCTGGATCTCAATAACCGTCATTTCGATCCACTCGTGTCCCCCAGCGTGCGCATATGTTGTTATTTCAGCACACTCGGCTCGTCTATGAATAACAGCCGCGCTGCCAATTCCAATTAATCTTGCCAGGATTAAAGCCGAGATAATCTTGAGTATTCGCGTGTCGACTATGAAACATACATGTTACGTCGCCTGATCGTCTCCGCCTTGTTTCAGATCCGCGATAATGCCCGCGCTTTCGCCCCACCCCGGCCATTATTTCGATAAGGTTGTTACGCGAGGATATACGAGCGCAGGAGTCCCGACATTTTTTTCACGACCACCCGTGAGAGCTACGTCCGCGAGGCGACTCGGGCGGTGGATTGTTGCGTTAATTATCGTTTTTACGATTGCCGTAATCGCATCGGTGCGCTTTCGCTTCGGGAGCTTCTGTTATTTCTCAGTCCCGACGCGAGCCACCCCGCGACCACTCATGCGCCTCCATTAAGTCGTATATACCCTCCCCCTCCCTCCTCCCACGCCGACTGTGGGAGAGACTGTACGACGGATGAAATCGCGTGGCAAATTATCATCTCCGTCGACAGTGCAGCGCGCACGGGGTTCCTCCTCGGCCTCTTCCACAGCGCTACCACCCTACCATCCCACTTGCGTGGGATGACAAATGGTCGCCCATTAGGCCGATTTCGTGGTCATTCCGCCGTTACCCCTCCTCTCTCCTTCCCGCTGCATTTCCCTCTTCGGCTTCGCGTTAGTACATCTTCATCTCCGCCACCCCCCGTTCGGAAAAAAAGTTAATTACCGCGGCGACACTCTCGGACGCCGCCGCGGGAGAGGGTTTGCGCTGTCAGACGCGAGATGCGCAGAGAGAGAGAGAGAGAGAGAGAGAGAGAGAGAATGGTCTTCTGTATTAATGAATATATATAGCGGACTCTCGGAGGAGTTGAATTAGTAATCGACGATCGCATTGCGCCGGGCTTGTAATTAAAAATTCCGCAATCTTCAGGTAAAAATTGAGTAAGAGAGCAACGATTTTGCCTCTTTTCAGGCTGCTTCCAAAATTAAAGATTTCCCTGAGAAACGTCGGCGGTGCGTGTTAAAGCCGCGGAAACGGACAAAAGTTTTCACAGAGGGAACTATGGCAACTTCTGTCCTCGCGACAGATCGTTCTCATTGCGAAATTCGGACCGTTGTTCCCCGACGTTCGCGTGTGTGAGAAGAGCAGACATTCTTTTTTTATTTTTTTTTTATTTTTAATTTTTAATTTTTTTTTCTCGCTATTTCCCCTCGAGCGAAAATATATGTAACATTTTCCGCGCGTACGCGTTGCGGTTCACTGAAAGCTGTTATGCGGGCTCTATTAAAATGTTAGCTCGCTGTGATAAGCATTGGTTTACATTTTACGGTGCAGTTTCTTCATAAAAGCATAAAAACGCAAGAGAAAAAGAGAGAGAGAGAGAGAGAGAGAGAGAGAGAGAGAGAGAGAAATCCTCTTTATAGCGCCAAATATTTCTCGACGATGCGTACGCATTAAAATCGTTCTTTCTGATTTTAGTTATTTACCGGCAACGTGCGCGCGCGCGCGCGCGCGGATAATATAATACATATTCAAACACGGAGAACGCGTCATGAAGATACATTTTCCTGGCATCGTTGACATTCACCGGCTGCTTTTTCCAAGCGGTAGACCGCACGAGACTAACTTCATTAGCGTGGAAGCAAAAGGCCAAACTATTATACATGGATTTCGCGATGGACCGACGACGGCGGGATAAACGCTTCAGGCCTTATTCTGCGCGGATAAACGTGAAAGGATCGCTAATTAAGGCGATGCGTTGGTTACGCGCGCGTTAGTTACTCGTACGCGTCAGTTGTTATCCGGCAACACCTGTTAGGAGCTAGACGAAGTCCGCGAAAACGCCGGCTAACATTTCAGCGCTTGCCGCTGACGCGAAGTGACGCCGCCAATAAAGCCAAATAATCACGCTCTTAATTAGCCATCGCCTTCGCATCGGTACGTAGCGCCGCGTTAATTCGCACCGACGGTGATACTCGCGAGAAAATCCGACGCGTAATTTCGTACGTCTCGGACGGTCTTCCTCGAGAAGGGAGGAACGCGAGAGAGGGATTCTCGCGCGAAGTCGGAAGCCCGAGAGATTCGAACCTGAGTCTGCCGATTTGCGTACGCAAGAATCGCGCTTGTAATTTTCCGTAAAACGGCCACACCGACTCGCTCGAACGACAGCCTCGAGCCTGGTCTTCCGCTCGTTAACCGCGGCGCGCACATTCAGCGGATTTCTTCACGCCGAGCGGATCGCTTTACCCGCTGAATCTAATTTATCGTCCAACTGCAATCGGCACCGCACGGCCGTTTGTTTCCCCTTTGGCATACGATATCTGTATAATAATATTATTAATATTAACAATAACATTCGTTCCTCCCGGTTGGAACGGGTGCCATGGGAGCGTGATTACGGCCGGCTCGTTTCCAACCGTGAACATTGATATCATGGATATCTGCCAATTAGCACGCTAATAGTTCCTATAATTATTGAGGATGTAACCAACGATTATCGATCGTTGCAACATTAGTCCCTCTGGTCAGGCAATAACGTCACGATGACGACGCGACTATTCCAAGTGAACCGTGCCGCGTTAATGTCTCGATAATCAAGGGCGTCATGGGCGCGTCTCGGCCGATTCTTCCACAGCCCGGATTTAAAGTTGCCGAGAATGCCGGAATGCCGGAATTCGTACGGGCGCTTAGCCGCGAAACTGCAAATATCGTTCAGTATTTAGCGTCACGATTGTCGGAGGAGCCCCGCGGCGCGCACTCGCCGGAATGAAATATGCGGCGAGAGAAATGACGACGTGCCGCGATCCGCCGGGCGAACAGAGACGACAATCGATAGATCCGCGGCGCTATGGGGTTCGGGAATTTCCCTCCCCCCCGTAAAAATAGGAAAGAAAAGAGAAAGAAAGGGGAGGGGAGGGGAGCCAAGAATTTCGCGAAAGTGCAAAATTGGCGTCACATTATTTTCGCCCTCACGGCCGTGCGAGGTCATGCCTCGCACATTGAAACTCCAATTTTTCCCCTTCACGTCCCCGCACAGCGGAACATTCTTTTTTATCGCACGGCTATAAATTTAAGAGGAGCTTAGCGCCGTGGTTTAATTAAACTAGTTTAGCCGTCATTCCCGGCCCTAAGCCTTCTCCACGCGCGCTGCGCTGCGCTGAATCGATCGCCGGTATCCTCTCGACCCGCGCAATTTTCTCTCATCGTTTATTCGGCTCAAGAGGTGCTCGTCGATCAACTTTAGACGATGCGTACCGTACGAAACGTCAATTATAATCACGAGAAACGTGCAACGAGGTGGACCGAGGATAGACCGCAGCTGCTTCATAATCGATCGACGGCAGTTTCGTGCGGTCGCTCTGCTAAATGTGTCGCGGCCGGTCAATAGAGTATAGAGAAAATCGTATTTTTAATTCTGTTGCGTCGACTGTTGGATTATTATAGCTCTCGTCGCTCATTGCGCGACGAGAGTTCGACGACGGCGGCTATTTCAGCATCAGCTACCTGCCACGTAGGAGATCTCTGACATTTACGAGTCGGTCTGCGTCGTTTATCGCTCAGCAAACGTACGCGTATTAAGTGACTTATAAATTTCGCTGTCGTTCAAGTGACGTATCTTCGACGCAACTGGTTAACGTGTCTTCAGAAGCGTCGCACTGTATCTTTTTTTCTGTCATTTTTTCTCTTCAAGAGAGAAACACTTCAAGGGAGAAGCTTCTTCCGAATCGAGGACACGCACGCTTCTAAATGAGTGCTCAAGAATCTCTTGGAATTTGAATAATTCCAGCGGATTGTGCGGCAGATTTGCATAATTACTTAAAAAATCGCATATCTTCCGGACATATCTCGCTTCTTAGCGCGCGTTATCTCCGGCATCGCGCACGCATACGCGTCGTGCGAGCGATAGAAAATAGATAGGAATTAATGCACAGCTCTCGTAATAACGCGAGGTTCTTTAATCACAGAGGAACGGTATGTTTCTATCGCCAATGATTTGCATCGACTCTGCGCGGTCGAAATAAAATTCCTACAATTATGATTCGCATCGAGCGACGTAACTACCGATAATGCGCGCGTCGTCGTCTCGCGTGCCTCAAGGACGCTTCGATGGGTGCGAAATAGCCACTTAATTATGGGACATCGGAGAGTGTCGCTAATGATATTCAGAAGCACCTTTCCATTTATATTCCGTTCATCGACTACGGCGCACGAGTTTCGAGGAGTCCGGCGCGTTCGCGCCGGGGGAGCGCGCGTTCGTCGGCATCACGCGGTCGAGCGTGAAACTTCGTCGGATGAGGTCGACGGCAATAATCCGCTGTTTAAAGTTCCCAACAGCCTCATGACGAGAGAGATTTGAAGTGGAGATTAGATTTAATTCATCGCGTCACGATCCTCAAGCCCGCGAAATACCTGCCGGCGCGCGGCAGGACTCGGGACGATCCTGACGACCCTTTCGCCGCGAAGGGGACGATCGATAGAGGGGGAGCGAGAGCGAGAGGCGCCGTTTGAGAAATTTCGCAGGCGTTACATTCTTGACGAAACACTCCTTCTTCATGGAGACGATCTCGCCTCTTCGTATTATTCAGAGATAAGAGAGTTGCGCGATTAGCGCGACGTGCCGCGTGTTTACTCGAGTTACTTAACTATTCTCTAATCCGTCAAAGCAATTGTCGACGCACCGACGAATCGGCGCTGATTTGTCGGCCGCAAGGGTCTCGTGTCGCATCTCGCCTCGCCTCGCCTCGCCTCGCCTCGCCTCGCCTCGCCTCGTAGCGAAAGGGTTGAACCCAGTTGTAAATCAGGTATAAGCAGTGTGACGTAACGGGCGGCATTACTCACTCGGCTTATCCAGATCCGGTAGCTCCACCGACTGCGCGTACGCCACGACGGCTGCCAAGACCAGCACCGTCGTCGTCGTCGTCGTCGTCGTCGTCGTCGTCGTCGTCACGACACTCCACCGCCACCTCCACCACATTTTGTCCCCCTTTCACGCGCACTGCACACACCCTCGACCCCTTAACGGCCGACCCTGCTCGCACCCCTCTTCAGTCGTTACGTAGTCGCGCGGCCGTAGCGAGCCGACACTAATTGCAACCCCCGACACCTCTGCCGCTCTCGCCGTTGATGCCGTTGTCGTTGCTGGTGCTGGTGCTGGTGCTGTTGCTGCTGTTGCTGCTGCTGCTGCTGCTGCTGCTGCTGCTGCTTCTGCTGCTGCTGCTTCTGCCGGTGCCGCCGGTGTTGTTGCTGCTGCTGCATCGCGCCGCCGTCCACATCGTCCGCCGCTCTTTGTCGCCGTCGTCGTCGTCGTCGTCGTCGTCGTCGTCGTCGTCGTCCTCGTTATTGCTGCCGTTGTCGTTCACCGCGAACCAACACGAACGATGCGTAGCCGTTCCTTAACCACCTCGTCGCTCACTTACCTACCTGTCTTCGTTTAATGAGACATCGGTTATTTGTATTTCGAGGCGTCTCAAGAACGAAACGCGGATTTGCTGACGATGGAGTGTGTTATCACCACTCGGTGTTGTCATCCTGTACAACGCGACCTTTTATCTTCCTCATCGTAGGGGGTGCGATCGGCCTCGGTAGATGATCTCCGTGACCATTCAAGTGCGCAATCGTTCTTCCGGTAGATTTTCCGATTTTCCGACGGGACGTATTTTTCCTTCTGTCTGTCTTTCTTTTTCTTTCTCTCTCTCTCTCTCTCTTTCTCGCTCGCCTTCTCCTTCACTCTTCCCCGAGCAAATTTTTTCCCAGTCGATCCCGATGGGATGTAATCCTTTAAACAGAGGTTACGAGCAGTTGAAACTTTATTCGCTCCGAGCCGTTTGTTATCCTTCGTCCTATTCCGTGATCGATGCGTTAGGTAAATTGCTCGCTGTCGTAGGATTTCACGGACGTGTTGAGCGAGCAGATCGAGCAGGCGAGAGATGATCGTTGGATTTGCGCGGATATAACGGATCCGTAGCGGAGCAAAGCTTCCGCCTTGGAGTGGCGATTGTAGTTTTATTGTCCGTGGCGTGGGTAGGGGTGTTGCAGCGTCGATCGGTGGTGTTCCAGCGGCCTCCTCTCGGGGATGGATTCTTGAATTCCGAGAGCGCTTCCGCCCGGTTCTGCCTGTCGCGGTGGCCGCTAATGCACTCGATCGCGGCGAATCACCGCAAAATGAAGTAAAATATCCGTCAGGATCCGGGCGAACATGCAAAGTGGATTCGACAGAATTGCCGACCGTCGTCGTCGTCGTCGTCGAAACTCCGGCCGTGTGAGACCGACTTACAAGTCCGATAAATTCCCGGAGCACTCTGGAGAATTTACAGGGCGCGTCCGTTTCCGACGATCGTGTCAAGTGGCTCTCCCTCAGCGACGTCCGATCGATGGGTTGCGCGGTGGCGTTCGAAAATAAGCAGATTTAATGCCGCTGAAAAATCACGAAACCCGCGTGGATCGTTCAGCCCGCCGCGCGCCGATTCGAATCGTCCGAGCAGATCGCTTCGATTTCCCGTGAAGCGCGCGCGTGGCTGATCGAGTGGAAATAAAGCAGTCGCGCAGAGCGCGTACGCTCCTGCCGTGGAAAGTGGCGGTGGCTGTTGCGGCGGCGGCACGCCGGTGCTCTTCGTCGGCCGGCCGGCGGTTATCGGCGAGAGCGCTCGTACGTCGGAAATTTCGGGTAGCACCGATGTTCGTTGGTCACGGAACGAAAGTCATCGTTCAGGTCATCGCATCACTGAGTGTACTTTCCGTTACACCACTCCGCCGCCCCCGTGTATTCCGACGTGTGTGTATCGATCTAGCCGGCCAGGAGTGGAATGACGAACCGCAGGTGTATCAAACGCGTCGTCGTGGGCAAAGTTAATCGCGATACCGGCCGATATTGCGTGTATCGATTCAAACACGACCAGTAGTGTCGACCAACCGCGCGTATTGCCGTCCAACAGAACAATGCGCTATGCAGACAGCGCCGAACCGAAATTTACTCTCGACACACAAAAGCGCCGGCCGATCGCGCGCGACTGCTCCGATTTTTCCTCGCATGTCGCCGCTCCGTTCACCGAACAGAGAGAGAGAGAGAGAGAGAGAGAGAGAGAGAGAGAGAGAGAGAGAGAGAGAGAGAGAGAGAGAGAGAAAGAGAGAGAGAGAGAGAGAGAGAGAGAGAGAGAAAGAGCGAGAGAGGGAATAGGAAGAAAACGAGAGAAAAACACGTGCGTGAGGGCACTCGCGAGTCGATCTTACGCGGGTTCGAAAGGGCCGATGGGGTGAAGGGCCCGGGGGTGGCGTGTATTACTGAACGACGACGCGCGGTCGATGCGAATAGTCGCGGGTCACGTGCGCGGGGGACGCGCTCGCGCGCCTCCTCCAATTAATCACGACGATTCTCCAGGATCGCAAGTGAGAGTCTGAACACTGAGAGGCAAAGGGGTGAGAAGAAGACGCTATCTATCTATCTCGCGGGGACGCGTTCTCCAGCAGTCGCGACTACTCCCCGGGTCATCGGCCGACACTCGCGTGGCACATCGAGGCGATCGGTGCGCGACAGGTCGACGCGATTTCGCGGCGATTTTGATTCATGGATCACTCGTGCGCGCAGTTCGTCATGCGAGGCTACGCAACGATAAGACTCCCTCACGATCTCGAAGCCACATCGAGTCCTGACCCGCGGCGGCTCGGTACTGAAACCATTGAATATTGCGACGAACCGTCGCGCTTGTTTCGGCCGACTCCGCTCGCGCTCGGCTATTCTCGGCCACGCTCGCGCCGTTGGTCTCATTCTGGAGCTTCGCTTCTACCTGCCTCTCGCTCGTTCGCCCGCGCGTTTCCGCTCCGACTCCCACATTCGGCGCGTTTCTTCCGTTCCGCGGCGGCGCGGCGCGGCGCGGCGGGGGCCGCCGCGATGATTTACCGACACGGCTAATGAGTCGCGCCCGTAATCGCCGCGCCGTGGTCCAGGCGCGGATGCGTGAACATGTAAGAATCTCGGACGGAGCGGAGAGAACGCCACGCGAAAGTCGGAACACACCGGCTGGTGGGGCGACGAGAGGAATGCCAGGGTCGTTACGCTCTTATGAATCCGACGAGATTTCACGGGAGAAGTAGGAATTCCACGCGATCGGAAATCGAACTGTTTTTTTCCCCCCTCTCTTTTTTTCTCCTTTCTCTTTTTCTCATCGGGATGCTCCGAGCCTTTTCCGTTTCGCAAAACGACGGAGGCGCGAGCGTGAAAGCACGCTCCCGCGTTCCTGCGTTGAACGCGATCCTCGCTAATTAAGCAAGTCGCGAACCGACTCTACGGAGAGCTGATTACACTCCGCTATTTGTATTTATCACGTGTACTCCCCGGTTTACCCGCGATGTACCTTTAAGGCGTCTTGCGCAGAGAGGCGTCTAGGCACGCGCGCGCGCGCGGCGCGCCTAGAAAGAGGATATTGCACATAACGATAAATATGTCCTGGGAGAATGAGAGCACGTACTTACGTCACGGAGTGCGCTCATGAGTGTGTTCATGAAAACTAGTAGTTCGTGCGTACCCAGTGCATGCACGAGATAACAGCCCTCGAAGCTTCATGACTACGAGAACTCCCTCCAATCACGATAAATTCCGGCTTTCGTGTTTCCATCGCTATCGGCAATCGCCTGCAAATCACTTCCTAATCCTCATCGAGTAGATATCCTGCGAAGGTACCTTTCCTAAATCCGCTTTGACTGTCTAAGAATGTTCCTAGTATCCGGCATCGTTATTTCTCCGTACCATCTCGCCCTCCCCTCCCCTCCCCTCCCCTCCCCTCCTGCGAGTCAACTCTGGCGTTAAATATTCGAGTACATGTTTTCACTGCTACGCTTAAGCGTGCTGCGTCAATTCACGCAGCATCCCTCTTCGCAGGCGTGTCGCCGGCTTAAATATCACGTATAGCGTTATGTAACGCTATACGTAAGGCGATTTTCGCAGCTACGAACTGTGTAGTAATTTCGCTCCCCGTCTGAAATCAGAGCGATCTTGTCTCGTCCGAAATACCTGTCACTTGCACGCGCGCACCCGCTCCAGAGAGAGAGAGAGAGAGAGAGAGAGAGAGAGCGAGAGAGAGGGAGAGAGAGAGAGAGAGAGAGAGAGAGAGTGAGGCATAGCTATATAAAGATCGTTACTAATAGCTGATACAATCCACTAATAAGTGTGACGATACGTTAATATGTACGTTGTGTAAAGCGCATTGTACCAACCCTTTATGCATTCATTAGTACATTATTAACTGACAAATCAAATGTGGCCAATGACCAAACGAATGAAACGTGCCCAATGACTGCGTGAAATGATATTTTGGCACAGGGTTCGTAGATGTTTCGTCGCCATGTTAATAGCTATTTTAATACTTTAGCAAATTTCATACATCAAGTCGTGATTACGTAAAATTTTATTACGCGATTACGTGCGCGCGCGGGTGCACACACGGACGACGCGATTCGCGTACGCGACGATAAGCAATATTTAATAACGTTCATGCGTTCTAATTACATGGGCGGCCATATCGCGGCCAATTTATAATCGATGGCCGCCGCCTATTTACCTAATGTTTTCCACGTCTTCGACAAAGTTAATACATAGTTTGATCGACTCTGCATTGGTCTAACATTTACACGAGCGCGTACACCTCGTCACTGTCACCGATCAAATATAAACCGCCATTAACGTCCTTTTTCCGTCGGTCTTTTTTCTTTTTTTATCGCCGCGCATCCCACTGATTGTGTGAGCGTTTCGAACGTCATTCGACGCATCGGTGCGCCGCCACCGGCCGGCGCGGCGGTCGATATCACAGAGCGCAGCGGTGTGCAATCGATTCGCCGGGTCATCGATCGCTCGCGCGTCGACGGATTAACATTTGCTTAAAGGTACCTTGAGAACACGGAATGGAACATCTGTTTGAGAATAGCCAAGTAATGGACACTGATCATTAATTACGCCACAGCGAGCGGGAATATATTCTCTTTACACTTCGTCTTCAAAGAACTCCTCGGCTCGGTCCCGCTTCCCCTTCACCCTCTCCGAAATTTCTCGTTCGATCCTTCCGAGGAACCAGCCGACGACGACGACGCGTTCTTCTGCTCGTCACTCGGATTTTCATATTCGTGCCCAAAATTAACGCTCGTTTCTTGGCGCGCGCGCGCGCGCGGTAC